CATGCATCCGTTGTCCGACGATACGTTGATACGATGTTAAATTCAACCAATAAAATTAATATCGTATCATCGTATCGTCGGACAACGGATGCATGAAAATTAAGCTTTAGGGATAAGATTTTTATCTGTATACATAGGTATAGTATACCTAATCTGTGATAATATTTAAGTATTTTAGTTTTTTGCTAGTGCCTGTTATTGAAACTGTAGAACACTCAGGTTGGAGGTTTGTATGATGCAACGGTGTTTCGGGTGGTATAAAATAAGTGAAATAAGAATTCGAACTAGGCGTCGCACAGTGCTTCGTCCCATGGACAAGAATCGAAAAAAAAGTTAAAATTTACTAATATCTGAATATGTAATTTTATACTTATAGCAATGTTCAACCATCCTTAAATTATTTTTCATAAACAGCGTTTTTTTGTTAGCAAATATTTTCACTAAAAATAAATTTTGCGATCATTATCTTATATCAATGAAAAGAATAACATTTATAGTAGTTCTGTATATGGAGTTAAACGTAAACGAGTTAGTACGTAATTAATTATTAATTAGTACTTAATTGAAAGCCGCTATGGATATTGTTAAACAAGGTATGTACTTTAAATTTATTTCTAAACAAGTTCGTGATTGTTTAGTTTTTATTTATTTTTTAAAATGATTCTTAAATGGGTATAAAAATTTTACGTTTTCAAACTTCAAAAAGGCATTTAAAAAAAAACATATCGTATTTATTGAATATTTTTGTTATCATATTCATACACTTTTAATTTTTGTATAGTTTTTTTTTTTTTTTTTTTTTTATTTTATTTTTATAATACTTTTCAGATGGAGTAAAATTGATAAGCAATGCCGATTTGGTTAATACTTGGTTTGATCATAAGGAACAAGAACTCAAAAAATTACTTTGTACTTCAAAAAATGTGTTCTTATTAGATATTGATGAACATTCCAGTCAAATGAGACCATTTGTGCCCGAAAAAGCCCACTATTTTGGAGCGAAACGCTTTACAAAAAGTTTAAATCTTCAATTTATTATAAAACCCTCATACCCAAGAAAACAAAGTAATATGATATGCCTGCTAGCAATACGTAACTGAAACGAAGTACAATTGATACTGTAGAAATTCCTTTAAAGGAATTATTTTGAATATTTTCATACATTTATTTTCAGGAATCTGGAGAACTAGACGATGTGAAACTTGTAGACTTTCAATTAACCAGAAAGACAACTCCTATCCATGACCTGTCCTATTTCTTTTATTCGGGAGCTTCAAAAGAAGATTTCGACAAACTGGATGAATATTTAGAAATATACCAATGAGAGCTTTTTCACTTAAATTTCCTGGTGAACCAGGATTTCGTGGCGACGATTTGTTGCCTTTGAATGTGTTGAAAGACGAATGGAAAACATATTCGATGCTGGGCGTTTTCATGGGTATTTTTTTGTGGGAATTGAAGCTCATTCCTAAAGATGATGCCAAAAATATCGGCGAAAACCATCAAAGTTTGGACGAAACTCAGATTCGAGAAAAATGGAGGGTGGTTTTGGAAAAAGTATTTAAAGATGAACGATTTAAAACGAGGACGAAAGATATTTTATTACACGCTGTAGAGTATGGTATTATTTAATAAAGATATTGATAAATATATGAACTTCTCTTTAATATTATTAGAACCCAGTCTTAATCCTTCTCTAAGATTATAAAAAATGTAGAATTTGGAGAGAGAGAGAGAGAGAGAGATGAATTGATTTATAGAGCCCGTCAATAGCGGGTTTTTTTAGCGCTCAATAATAAGCTTTATTTAATATGATTTTTTTTAAATTATTTTAAGTTGATGCTGTCTAAGAATTCCATAACTTTATTAATCTTCGAAATATTAAAAGGCGCGAAAATATTCTCATAGGTAACACCATTAAAGAGTCTAGACCTCTGGGAGGCAACAGGTAAGCGTTCAAAAAGAATTTGTGTCATTGACATTAAGTTATTGCATAAGGTGCATTTCGGAGGGGGTTCATATCTGATAATATATGATTTGGTATGATATGAGTGTCCTGTGAGGGTTCTAACAACTTTACAGAAAGAACCGCGTTCAAGAGAATATATATTTTGATACAGATGAAGAAGTGATCTAAGTTTATTAGTTCCCTCGAGGATGTCCCATTCATTTTGAAGTATACTGAAGAACACTTTTTTGTGGAAATTTCTGAAATCGACAACGGATGGAGTTCCTTCAATATTCTGTAAGAGCGTTGCCTCGTAGCCAGTTTGTCTGCTCGATCGTTACCAGCAATGTCAGAGTGTCTAGGAATCCACATAAAGTTAACATTTTAGTTTCTTTCAGTAAGTTTATATACTAGATCTCGAATGCTGCAAGTTAGAGAGGTTTTGGGGTTTAAAGAAGCAATACTGTTGAGGGAATTAAGTGAATCAGATAGTATTAATGCTTCAATCGGTGGCATGCTCCGAATTTGTATAAGAGCCTGATAAATAGCTGTGAGTTCGGCTGTTAAAATGCCAGAGAAATTAGGTAATCTGATTTTTTTATTAGCAACCGGGCTGTAAAAGGCACAGCCAATACCTTGGTCAGACTTCGAGCGATCTGTGTAAAAACAAATATAGTCACGATATTTTTCGTATAAAATTTGTATTAGACTAGTTTTGTAAAGATATCTGGATGTTTCAATTTTTTTTTAATTTACAATGTTCCATATTAACTGAAATAGGATCCTTCCATGGAGGGGGCAGTGTGTCGGAAAAAGTGGAATACAGGGATATTAGGATTGTTTTGTTGGGAGGAAAATAGGTGGTATCTTATATTATTGGGCGTTGGTATTTTGGATGAACGGTATACGTTTCACTGTCTTGTAAGTCGAAGAACTTGCCATAGTCAATCAAAAAAGGCTTTGACTTAATGAATATTCCATAATTATGAGTATGGAGAATTCTCCTGTGATACAAGGAAGAATATCCAGATAAGGCATACAGACTCTCCACCGGTGTGGTGCGAAAGGCACCTATAGAATTTGGAAAATGTTTCACGAAATATTTCTAGAAATATTTCGTGAAACATTTCGCGAAGCTTCGTGGAGTATGAATAAATATCATTAGTTTGTAATGGAGTAAACAAAATTGAACGAGGCAACAGGAAACGCTAAAAAAGTCCTCCCACACCCTGTTCCGTAATTTCACGAGTAGTTTCGAGGCGCTTTTAACAAAATTTGTTAATGAAAGTAGGTCAAAACAAACCGAAATAGGCGAGGACAATCGGAGATAAGTCAAAACGCGACAAAGTTAAGCTCCGCGCGCACTGAATAGGTATCGGCGAGAGCGAGCGGCGCGAGCAGCACGACCGGTCGGAAAGTCGAAGGTAGCCGCGCACTGGAGTCGCACGATCGACGGTCGAGAGTACGTCACCAGCATAAATTTGAGCATAGACGAGGAGAAGTTTATTCAAATTTAGTCAAATTCATCGTCATTTCAAAAAAATTATAAAGTATTATTACGATTTATATTTTTATGCAAACTTTTATATTTTATGCTTTATGATGGAAATTGATATTATTTAGATCTTAACCAAACACACATTAATATATTTAGATCTTAACAAACCACATAAAATTAGTGAAATAGAGTGGAAGATGGGATAAAATATACTACTTAACTCTTAGCTTGACCGATTTTAACAAATTTGGTATAACTCCAAAGGGATTAATTTGTTCTTTAAAAAACAAAGCTAGACATGAAAATAGTCAACAAAACACATTGTTGAGTGGTAAAATTGTATTGTATATTATAGATTCTAAAGAAGACCGAATTAAAATTAGTCGAAACGTCAATCATTAAACAAAATGTAAACACAAGTTTCGTTTTATTCACTACTGACTTAAAACCAAGATTTTAAAAACTTAAAATATAATAAAAAAGTCAAAGAAAATTGAAAAAATAAAAAATATAAATAGTTTTTATAGTACCGTATTATCGAAAAGGAACGGCATCAGCGATGACCATGAAATGAAGGTCGGTGCCATTTTATATGTAAATTTATATAGGAAATGTCATCAATCGTCATTTCCCATCCAACTGGACGCCGTTTTTTTCTAACATACGGAAGATATATGTACAAATATTTTATTCAAACATAAATATTATTTTCTCTATTTGTACCTTTTACGGAGCGATCAACATAGAAACATAGGATGACTATCAGCTGTTATTACTAACGTCAAAACAAACCAAAAATTAAATAATATGATAAGTTTTTTGACGATATTTAAATTCGATTTTCAAAGTAATGTGAGATAATCAAAACGAGATGAGAAATAAACGGGTTTAATCGGAAGGTTTTCTAATTCAGTTATTGAATAAGTGTAGTAAACAATATAGGTTACGTGCTTGTAAGAAATTTTTATCAGAAAGCGCATATTAAGTATGATATGGTCTCGTACACTTTCGATTAATAATTCATGGACATGTTTAATGTAAAAACCGCTCCACTAAAACAGTCGCTCGGCGTAGACTATTCGCCCCCTCCCATGCATTCTCTCTGATTTCGCCTGATGGCGCGAGTACCGCCGATAGCTCGAAGCGCACCGAGCGCACCGATCTAATGCGGTGCGCGGGCTTACATTTATTTCAACGTAAACTGAAAATTACGTGTCGCTCGCTCTCGCCGATACCTATTCAGTGCGCGCGGAGCTTTAGGCAACGAAACGTGACCTTGACCTGCTTTGTACTATTCTCCGAATAGTGTAGAGGTCTATAAGATTGTCTTGTTCACGATAATATAACATAAGCGTCTATGACTTGAAACTGAGAAGTAAATACGCCGATGAATGTTACATTTTTATTCATCAAAACATTATTTCAAGGATTTGTCTGATGCTTATCAAGTGTACGTGATAATGACACAACAGTTTCTTAAGTGATTCTTTTGGTGGTTATTATTGTCAAAAAAATCGTTTACTTATTATTTATATTTTTAATTCCTAGAAGTAATAACTCATCAACCGCCAGATAAGCATGATGCAGCTGTTATCTTTCTGATATCTTTCTGTAGATTTTGAAAAAAATATAATCACAGATTAGCAGAGTATTTTGACAGAAAGTGTTTTGAAGGTTTATTGTGCAGTTTTGAGTAAAAATGGACGAACAGAAAAAATTAAAACAGGAACTGTTAGAAATTTTAACAGAGGTGGCCAAAGTGAAGAAAATCAAAGATTTCGAGTTGATTCCTAATGTGAATTTGAACTATGGGGATGGATTCGTGTCGCATTTTTACACAGGACAAGTAAAAAACAGAGAAAACGATGAAACTTTTGAAGTTGCTATCAAAAAATGCCCAGCGAATCGATCGGAGATCATGGGCTCTTTGTTTAATAACGAAATAATTTTCTACGAATCCATATTTCCGATGATGAGAGACTTTCAGTTAAAACGAAACATCGTTGAAGTCGTTGATAACGTTCCTGGTTATATTTGTGGTAGTACGGAGCCGAATAAGGCATATGTAGCTATGGATAATGTGAAACATCTCCGATATGTCTTGTATGACAAAACGAAATTTTTCAACGAGGAACATTTAACGTCAATTTTTAAACTATATGGTAAATTTCATGCTCTTTCGTTTGCTCTTGAGAAAAGTGAACCAGTCGCCGCGAAAGACATACAAAAAGGCCTTTTTAATACATTCAGCAACATACCTGATCAAGTATTACATCAGCTGAAGGAACCCTTTGAGATTGCAGTGGCAAACCTGGAGTCTGAAGATCGGCAGAACATTTTTGAAAAAGTCTCGTACGTATTGGATAATATGAAGGAAGTTTATAGCAAATGCTGTAGTTATTCCGGAAAGTATTCTTGCATTATACATGGAGATTGCTGGTCAAACAACATGCTGTTCAAATACAACGTGAGTACTTTTGTGATGTAAATTTATGGTTCATATCAAATAAACTTTTTGTCACGTGATTAAGGTTGACCGGCACAGCGTTGCCAACTTTTACATATTTTCTTTTCATCAAAATATTTAGGAAACAAAAAAGAATTATATTATAATAACTCAGGTCGGCAAGTTGTGCGTCTGGGGGCATTCTTGTATCCTCCCTAGAAAATAATATTACTTGTAAATTTGTTTTAATGTGCAAACCTAATAGTATGTTTCTGATGTATTCAGGAAAAATTTTTTATATACTTCTATAGGTGTTGTCTAAATATTCGAATCTAAGATATGAGTAAAGATTATTTTCGATAGTTAAAGATATAATAATATAAAAAATATATATTTTGTCCGCGTTTACTTATAAAATAATATTAAATAATCATTTTTTTTTTCTTTTTACTTAATAGGTATTAGTGTATTTAGTTTAGAGGTTCTGTATGTTACTTTCCTTTATAAATATTTAATTTCGTAATTCATATTTAGGATATTTCAAAAATTCTACGCCAAATCTTACTCAAATACGAGTTATAAAATAATTTTTCTAAAAAAAAAAGTTTTTTTTTAATACCCTGTCATATTATATTTTTTTTATTTTTTTGGATTTTTTTTTTTTTTTTTTTTTTTTTTTTTTTTTTTTTTTTTTTTTTTTTATATAAAAAATATGTTCATTTTTAATTCTCCCATATCATAATAAAAAAAATTAATAAAATTCTCCATTTTAAATAAAATCAAATATATTAAATGCACATTGAATTTTGAACATCCTGTATGATTTAAGATCGTGATGTTTATCTGGCAGTTTTGATTTCGGGACAGTCCTTGTATTTTTAATATTTTTTTCTAATTCTTTTTTTTTTATAATGTTTATAATAATGTTAATATATATGTTTTTATTTGTTTTATAAAAATCTCTGAAAACTATCGTAAACAAATTATTTATTTTATATTTTTTTTTTTAAATTGACACACTGTATAGTGTTTTTCTAAAATAATGCATTTAATTATACAGGGTGTTCAATTTTAAAAAAACCAAGCCAATCCACTCACTCTTTTTTTGTACCCACCCTATAGAAGTTATAATACTTTTCCAGTAGAATATCATCCTCGATACTATACTTTAGGCAATTTTAGTGTTTAACACTTAATTTATAAAAAAAAAATTTCCAAGTTTTTTTTATTCTAGGAGTGACAGATTCTGACGCTCACTATGCTATGGACCCTGTATAAACAGTTATTATTTACATGAACAAAACTCAACGTCTCCATAAAAGACCATTACTACCGTCTTTCCCGTTCAAAATATTCTAATAAAGTTGCGATGAGTGTTTTACGGCTATTTTGCTATCTTTGTTACTCACTTCGCGCTATATAATACGGTTCTAAATAGAACCAATGTTGTCTTGCAAGTCAATCTATGTAAAAATGTTTTAAGCTTAAAGTATCACAACACAATTCATATTTAAACCAAAAAAACTCGTAATACAAAAAACTGGAAACACAGCTTACAGAATAATATAGCTTGGACACTCGCCAATTTTTCTCACGCTCGAATTTAAAATCGGCCTCCAACTTTCCGACGATGCTTATAATGAAATTAAGCGTGAGCGACATGTCTCAGCCTCATTCATGCGATTGCATAACCTCACCGTGTGACGTTGTAGTTGGGCCGTATTATAATGAAAGATTTTAATTCGATTTTTTTCTTATATTTTTAACCATAGTTATTTGTGCTTTTTGATTATTTATTGTTAGAATGGGTAATAATGGTTTTCCGGGATGTGCGGGCTTGTCTGGTTACACAACATTAATTATGTAAATAATTTCAAAATATACTCTGTTTTAATTTTTCAATTCTCAATTCAAAATTAAAGTTCAATTCAAAAGTATATACACACTTTAGAGCTTTTTCTATTACAACGATAAGACATCTTATTTGGAGGTCTTTGCTAGATTCGCCAATTTGACCATTATTTTTTATTTTAGTGTCCTCATTGGAGGCTATTTTTATAAGCTTTGTATACGAATGACCATGTCAGACCATGTCAGGAAATCCAATATAAATAATATGTTGACCAACTTGACATTTTTTTACTCAGCTCAGTGCTACCGCCTGAATCCTCCAGCGAAGAAAATTTAAAATTTCAGTAGTCTATGCCCTTGGGCGGCGAATATGTCCATGGTTTGGCAACAATATGTAATTTTAAAAATAAAAAAAAAAAAAAAAAAGTTTATAAATTATAAAAAAAACTCAATTTTTTTATTTTAATATTATCTAAATTTTGTTGGTAATTATTTGGATATAATTTTTCATATATTTATTTTTCAGTGAAATTCTGGAGAACTTAGACGATGTAAAACTTGCTAGACTTCCTCAATAATTATACCAGATAAAACAACTTCCTTATACATCGACCTTGTCCGTATTTCTTCTATTTCGGGACTTGCGAAAGTAAGATTTCTGGACAAACTGTATGAATACTTAGAAATTATACCACGATTAGTTTTTCACAATTTTCTTCTATGAGAACTAGGATTGTCGTGGCGAACGATTTGTTACCTTGAAGTGTTGAAAGACGAATGTGAAAACTTATTCATGCTGGGCGTTTTTCTATGGATTGTCTTTTTGGGAACTGATAAGCTCATTCTCCTAAAGATGCAGTCCCTAAAAGCTTTTGGTCGTATATTGACGGTCAAAGTTTAGATGAAAATGGAATTCGAGGACAATGGAAATAATAATTTTGGATACAATAGTAGTTTTATGGAGATTACTGATTTATAACATGAGGACGACAAAAATTATTTTATTACACGCTGTAGAGTATGGTATTATTTAATAAAGATTTTTTTTTTTTTTTATTTTATTCTCTTTTTAATATTATTAGAACCAAGACTTAAAAAACAAATAACCGACAAATAATAATCACTTATAAAAGCGCTTTATAATTATCTCAATTGGCTAGATCTTTTCGGATACATTTGATTGTTGTGCGATATTATCTGCTATTGATTTAAGATCTTTTAATTACAGTTACATATA